ATTGGGGATGGTGAATGTTGTAGATTCAATAATGGGTCTCTGGGCATGTTCTTCCATAAAATGGAGTACCTTTCTTCAGTAGCCTAGTTAGGAGGTAACGTGTGTGTGTGTGTGTGTGTGTGTGTGTGTGTGTGTGTGTCTGTTTAAAACAGACATCAAGGTACCATTGCAGAAGGATGTACAGTGGTACCTCAGGTTAAGTACTTAATTTGTTCTGGAGGTCCGTTCTTAACCTGAAACTGTTCTTAACCTGAGGCACCACTTTAGCTAATGGGGCTTCCCGCTGCTGCCGCGCCGCCGGAGCACAATTTCTGTTCTCATCCTGAAGCAAAGTTCTTAACCCGAGGTACCATTTCTGGGTTAGCGGAGTCTGTAACCTAAAGCGTATGTAACCTGAAGCGTATGTAACCCGAGGCACCACTGTACTCTTAATTGCCAAGCATACACCTGACAGAATAGAAAACTTTTCAGCAGGCGTTTAAAAGTTGGCACAGAATGCACTTCTCTATCAGCAGAGAGTTCCGCAGGCCTGGGCTGGTGACACTAAAGGCTCGGCTTCTCATTGCTGTCACTTGAGCCTTGGGGAACAACCAGCGATGCTCCTGCCGATGATCTTGGCAACTGCGCCGGGACAGAAGGGTTCAGGCAGTCCCTACAATATTCTTGTCCAGGGCTTTATAAACTAACACAAGGACCTTGAGCCAGGCTCAGTAGTAGACGGGCAGCCGGTGCTGCCGTTTTAAGAAGAGTCCCATGTTCTTGGCCAGATGCCCCATCAGCAGCCTGGCTGCTTCATTCTGCCCCAGCTGGAGCTTCTGGACCAGGCTCAAGGGCAGCCCCACACAGAGCACATTGCATTAATGTCATTGACACAAGTCGTTTTAACATTAAACACATAGAATCAGAAGGGACCACGAACGTCATCTAGTCCAACCCCCTGCAATGCAAGATCTTTCACCCACTATGGGTCTTGAACCCACAACTCTGAGATTAAGAGTCTCATGCTTTACTGACTGAGCTACCTGTGGACAAGCCCCTTGTAGCCACTGGACTTATTACTACTACTACTACTACTACTGCATTTATACTACTACTACTACTGCTACTACAGTGGTACCTTGGGTTAAGAACTTAATTTGTTCTGTAGGTCCGTTCTTAAACTGAAACTGTTCTTAACCTGAGGTACCACTTTAGCTAATGGGGCCTCCCACTGCTGCAGCACCACCGCCGTGCGATTTCTGTTCTCATCCTGAAACAAAGTTCTTAACCCAAAGTACTATTTCTGGGTTAGTGGAGTCTGTAACCTGAAGCGTCTGTAACCTGAGGTACCACTGCACTGCATTTATACACCGCCCTATTCACCAAGGAACTCAAGGTGGTGTGTGTGTTTCTCTATCTCCTCATTTAATTCCCACAACAAACCTTCAAAGTTGGTTAGGCTGAGAGACAGCAACTGGCCCCCAAAGTCACACCCAGACAGCTTTGTGGCTAGGTGGGGATAAGATCCTTCATCTCTTCCAGGTGTGATGCTTTAACCGCTATGCCACACTGGCTCCTAAGGCAGGCTTTGCCCGCCTGGTGCTTCTCTTTGGACTACAACTCCCATCAGCCCCCAGACAAAACATCTGTAGTGTGGCAGGTCAGGGAGGGCTGACGCTGACCCTTGACTCCATTCTTCTGTATTCCAGAGGGGAAACATTGGGCGTCAGTGAGGCTTTCAAGACTTTTCCTTTCCTTTCCGCATCCAAACAAGGAACCAAAGAACTCAGGGGTTGGAAGCAGGAAATATTTCCCAGGCCCTAAACGTGCAAAACTGAATGAGGCGCTGGAGAGGCAGCCGGCCAGCATGACCGAGGGCGAAACACTCACGCTTCTATCTCTGCCCCGAAGGAGACCAACCGCTGGGGTTCTCCTGGCAGGAGGGGCTGGGAGGACGCCCACATGCCAACAGCTTGCCTCAGCCAGCCTGATGAATGGGCAGCATTGAGCCGGGCCCACGCGCAGGGGGGTATTAATAGCTCGTAACACAGCGCTGGGGAACGGCAGCCGACATCACCGCCCAGGCGAGTGTGTGACACAACACAGGGAGAGGGAGGTCAGCCGATGCAGGACTGGGGCCCTTTTTCACAGAGACGGAAGTGGGGGGTTCAAAACTAAGAGACAAGAATCAACTGCTTCTTGTACAGTGGTACCTCAGGTTACAGACGCTTCAGGTTACAGACTCTGCTAACCCAGAAATAGTACCTCGGGTTGAGAACTTTGCTTCAGGATGAGAACAGAAATCGTGCAATGGCAGCGGGAGGCCCCGTTAGCTAAAGTGGTACCTCAGATTAAGAACAGTTTCAGGTTAAGAACAGAACTCCAGAACGAATTAAGTTCTTAACCCAAGGTACCACTGTACAATGAACTTGCCTCCACACTAGCTAGCTTGCATCACAGTTTCCTGTGTGCAGCCACTGCCTCAGTCTGAACCACCCCCCTGACTGTCATCAACTCATCTTCTCATGGAGGGGACCCAAGGGTCATCTAATCCAACCCCCTGCAATTCAAGGAGCGCAACTGAAGAATCCCTTTATTCCGGGCTAATCCATACCTTCAGGAGTTTAAAGGAGCCCCCTCACTTTATAGGCAGGAGTCGCTGGGAAAGGAAAGCAGGGTGAGACATAGAATAAAAGCAGGGCCCTCCCAGAGTTTCCGCTTTTCTTCTGTGCAGAAAAATGCCAGCACCTGCAGTTTTAACCCTGTGCCTTTTGGTAAGATACATTTAAAAACAAGCAAATAAAAACTATGCTGCATTGTAGCACAGGAAGCAGGCATTTTTACTGAAACAATGGTCTCTGAAAAAGGCTACAATTCAAGCAATGGGGGGGGGGCAGCCAAGTCTTCTTCCTGGGGTCTTCTATGTGTGGCAGAAGGTTAACATTTAAACAAGCTTAAATTTGTTGTCTGTTAAAGGTTGCTGGGAATTAGTGAGAGATTTGTAAATTACAGCGCCCAGATTTCGTTGAGGAAAAAGACTGTGTAGGCGGTTCTAAGACAGAGGCACAGAGTCATAGAATTGTAGCATTGGAAGGGACCACGAGGGTCATCTAGTCCAATCCCCTGCAATGGAGGAATCTTTTGCCCAACATGGCTCTCAAACCCACAACCCTGTCTCATGCTCTACCAAGTGAGCTATCAGGAACCCAGGCATCCTCCATATGATGCATTTATTCAGCACTCACCCTAGTTTGCTCGCAGAAAGTTGGCAGAAAGTGGGAGACAGATTATATCCGGTCTTTACTGACCATTGATTGAGGGGTGTGGTTTCCATGGCCATAAGCAGTTTGGGGCAGCAGGCTGGCAAACTCCTTCATTTGGGGAAGTTCTGCCAGGGAGTTTATCAGGGCTTCCCCCTTGAAGAGATGACTCAGGCATCATAGGCGTAAGAACTGGCACAAATCCCGGTTAGAAGCTGGCATGTGATGTTGATCTTACGCGTGGGGCTTTTCCTCCAGGGACATCTGCAGTGGGAGCTCCTGCCCCAAGGAAGATTAATCCCACTTTCCCATTCACACAGAGGGTTCAGGGGAGCTGAAGGAAATGTAATTCATACCAGGGGTGCAGCTTCTTCACATCTGGGGTGGCGGCGAAGTTAGGTTTGTCCTAAACTGCAAAGCTGCCTGTGACCCTGAGGTCCTCCCTTCTAGAACTGCCACTCTCCCCACACCCAACTTATTGAACCTCATTGCAGGGGGTTGGTCTAGATGTCCCTTCAAGCTCTACAATCCTATGATTCTATGTCAGTTCCCAGGGCTATGACACCATTAGGGGACCTGCTCCACCTCAAACCTCTCCTCTGCATGCAGATTCAGAAGCCTGCCTTATACTGGATCTGACCTTTGGTCCATCCAGCTTTCCAGGAACCTCTTCCTGGGAGATGGAACAGAATGGAATGGAAGGTACTGCTTCGGAATTCAGATGGTTGTGTTTTTTTAATACTCTCTGTGTTCATAGATAAAAACTTCCAGCTGCCTGCAAGTAACTGGGAGTTGGCTTCTGGCCTCTCTCCCTGAGCTGCTGCCTTTCACCTTGCGGGGAGCTGTTTCAGCAGCCAAGCATTCCCCAAGGTGGCTTCTGTCTGAAGTCATTATTCAAAAGCCTCTGCTGCCTGGAGGACTGTGTCCCACCTACCGTCCAGCTCTCTATAAAGAGGCACCCTGGTCCCCTCGACCATAAAAAGTGCGCAGTGCGGTGTACTGGTTAGAGCTTTGGACCAGGAGCCAGGAGACCAAGGTCCAAATCTCCATACTTTTCCATGAAGCTCACTGGGTGACCTTAGGCCAGAGGCAGATGTAGGGGAGTGTGACTGGTTTGCCCACACCGGGATTGCAGAGCCAAGAGGGTGCATCAGTGGGCACTGAAACAATGACTTAGAAGGGAAACAAGAGGCAGGATGTGGCTGAATGTTGGTATCGCACAGGGCACTGCTGAAATTTGAAAGCCCAAAGTCCGCCACTGCTTGGACAAGTCAGTTTCTTAGTCTAACCTACCTCACAGGGTTGTTGTGAGGATTAAATGAGGTGGGGGGAAACCACGTAGGCCGCCTGAAGATCCTTGCAGGTAGGGGTGCCAACTTGAATAAAATATATGGGGGTGGCAGGTGAGCCCCGCCCCCGCATAATCAATCACATGGCTCGGGGCAGGCTCACCATTTGAATGGCAATGCCCGTCAACTTGGGGGGAGGGAGCTGGACGCTTTAAAAAAAATGGGTGGGGGGACCGAAGGGACCTCGGACCCTAGGAGTTGGTTCCTATACTTGGAGAACAGAAGGTGGGAGAGACATGCAACAAATCATTAGGAAATGCAAGAAAGCAAATAAACTCAAATTAAAGTACCTGTAAACGCAATGGAGCAAGTAATTCAGTCCAACCGCGTAAAGCGGGACCAAAGACAGAGCAGTGGGGAAAGCAGAGCCTGAAAGGGGCCGAATCCTGGACCGCGAGCGGACGGTGCTTACCTGGCTTCCCCCGGGACCCTCCACCACCCGCGACGCCTGCTCTGCGCGCCCGCAGCAGCCGCGAGAAGGAACGCCCGCAGGTCCTGCCTCCGGACAGGGCGCGCCGTCGGGAGCCTCTCGCTGCGCCCGGCCGCTCCATCCTCCGTCTGAGCCTTTGCGCCTCTGCGCCGCCTAGGCGAGGGAGATCCAGGGCCGGGCAGGCTCCTCCTCGACGACCACGCCCTCGCCGGGAGAGCAGAACCCGCTGGGGCTCCCCCGGGCTCGGAAGGGAGAGGAAAGGCACCGGCAGGGACGGGGCAACTCAGCTTTCAAGGCTCTTCCTCCCAAAGACAGCAGCAAGGCGCCACGTCGGGGAAGTCTTCTTCGAAAAGCCTTCTCGGAAACGCCACTAGGGGGCAGCCCTGGACCCTTTCCGAGCATCTGCCGAGCTGCTCCGAGGATGGCAGGGCTGCCGTCCAACAGGTGAGGCTAGACAGGGAGCGGGGCGCTTAGGCCGCTTCCAGACTGATGCTGCTTTGCAGGTACGAAATGCGTCGCAGAACCCCCATGATGTCCTGGCTTCCTTGCGATGCTGTCCATGCAGAGGCCTCCTTTGAAAACTGCTCAGGAAACTTCAGTTGGTCAAACAGCAGCGCTGAGACATTTTGCGTGGCACCAAACCGCTGGCATCTGGCTGCAGCTTCTTCGCCTTCCTGCTTCTCCCCAGGCTCAGTGAAATGCTGTTCTCTCTGCCTTTAAAGCTCTGAATGGCCCTGGGTCCATTTGCTCCCAAACCATCCCAGTAAGACCTGCACCAGCATTTGGTACTTCCAGGAGGCTGGCGGAGAGCCTTGCCATCCTTTGCCTTCCCTGGCATTTGCCTCTTGCTGCTGTCAGCCTCCTGTGGAGTACATCTGCAGGAGTCAGCTGAATGTCCTCTAGCATGGAAAGAAGGCCCATCTCTGAACTGCATTTAACCCAGGCTCCTAGTGTCAGACCAGTGCCAGAAACTTTATTAGCAATTAACACTTGCTTTGCATTGTATTTATGTACTTAAACCTATATAGTTTTGCTTTTGTAATATTGAATTAAATTAAGTGTTTGCCTGATTTTTGAACTTACTAATATTCTGTAGTTCCAATGTTTTGAATCTTGCTGTAAGCTGCTTTGTGGGAAAGCAGCATATACTGTAAGTAAACGTCATCCATCCATCCTCTGCTCAGGAGGGCCAATGGCACAACCGGTTCAGGCAATGAAAAGAAGGGGTGGGGCTTTCATGATGGTGGGGCCGCCACCACTGAGGCCCTGGACCTGCCACTTTGGCCCAGTCTCCTTTCTCTTGACTTTTCTTTCCACAAGCTTTTAATATTTAGCTGTGCTGTTTTTTAAAAAAAAAAAAATATTTCCATTGCTGCTTTTACAATTGTTGGCTATAATCTGTTGGCTCTTAGTATGCAGGCTGTCGTTTCATGCATTCTCATCTGTTCTTGGTTGGAAGCTGCTCTGAGCTGCTGTTACTAGACCAGCAGGATGAAGGTGAGGTACAGTGGTTAGAACATCAGGCTAGGACAGAGGGGACTCAGCTTCAAATCCCTATTTGGGTTCCTTTGGGCCAGTTACTCTTCCTCAGCCAACCTCCCTTACAGGGCTGTTGTGGGGGTCAAATGGGAAGCAAAGCTTCAGGTACACTGGTCTATGTTCAGTCTGTGTTCTTTGGGGGAGTGGAACATGTTCACCAATACACATCTGCAAGGATAATTGTGATGTGTGGGGGGGGAGGCACTAATGGGGAAGGGTTGGCATGAAAGAGGGATGCTTCACCCACCCATCCCTCACACACTTCAATTTTCCCCAATGCCATTCCCACCTCAACAAGATCCACTTTTTGTTTCAGAGCATGGGTTAAAAAATGGTGATGGTGGAGGGAGAGTATGTATAGGGGAGAAGGGATGGGCTGGGAAAGGGTTAAGTCCTGCCTGCCCCTCTCTCCTGCCTTGCACACCAAAACTTCCTCTTAACCCTCAGGAGGATGTTTGGAGCCTGCAATGGATTTCCTGCCTTACTTAGGACTCTGGAAGCTATTTTCCAAAGTGCTGAACAACAAGAAGATTGGAGCTGGTTCGTGCTGCCTGGGGGGGGGGGAGCTTTTCTTCCTTCAGGGGAGAGGGTTAACTCATGGGACAATTGCAGCACTTGAGCCAGGAAACCCCAGGAGACCTCAGCCCCCCCCCAACAAACTGCCACCTTCTTACAGCTCCTCCTCCTCCAGGGATTGTGAATGTGCTGCAAAGGCAATCCCTGCGTCCACACGGTACACAGATGAGCACTTTGTGATCCAGTTGTGTGTATTTCACACTCCTGGACACAGTTCAGAGCAAGCACAGTGTTGCGTTCTCTGTTTGCATGATTTTGTGGCAGGGGAGCAAAGCTGTCCAGTACCAGGAAGATTAAATCAGATTTTCTCCAGCATCCTCTTCTCACAGCGGCCAACCAGATTTCCCCAAGCGAAACCTGCAAGCAGGGCCTGAGTACAAGAGCAACACTCTCCCCTCCTGTAGTACCCCTGGGTTGCAGCGTGTTAGACTAGATGAGCTCTGGTGTCTCTTCCAACCCTAACACTTTATAATTTTATGGTATTCACTGCCTCTGAGCGAGGAATGCTAAGTTTTCTTGCCTTCCCCTCCCTGCTTGCAGAAGCTCTATAAATCAACCCAGGCACAAATGTTCAATGCGTATAATTCATACCCGTTGCAAAATGTGGGCAGAGTTGGGATGGATAGAGAATGTGAGGCGCTTTTGACATCTGCCTGCGGTCCAGATTTTGAATGCATGCCCCTCCGCAAACCATCAAGGGTCGCTGTGCTCAAAGCTTCTGCCGGGACGCTCAAGTAAGCAGGAGGCCTTCCTAGAGCTGGATGACTATTCTGGGGCCGGAAATCATCGCTGGTGGGGGGGGGGCAGGGAGGGCTTCAGAGGCGAGTGGAAACTTTCACAGCTGGGGAAGGCATGAAAATTCAGACTCTCCCAAGAGGAGAAGAAAGGAGATGTTGTGTAACTGTCTGACTGCACTTCTTATTTCGACGCAAGAGTTTTCCTGTAACCGCACGCTGGAAAGTTTGAAGTTTTAAAAGCTTGCATTTTATTTTTATGCTCATGCGGAGTGCCGTGACGTATCCCTGCCTTGTGAATTTGTTTGTATCAAGGTGGCCAAAGACCTTTCCGAAATTTAGGTGGGAAATCCAACTGCTCCTTTATCTCTGCCAGACGCTGATTGAGGCAGGACACAATCCACCATGGAGCAGAATGAACTTTGACCCTTTAAATTGGACATATTCCAGACAGTTTCCTGTGGGCCGCAGCCCAAATGCCCATGTATGCGCACTCACAGATTCACCACTTCAACATGCCTCATAGTAAGGTAAAGGTAAAGGGCCCCTGGGTGGTTAAGTCCAGTCAAAGGCAACTCTTGGGTTGCAGCACTCATCTCGCTTTCAGGAAGAGGGAGCTGGCATTTGTCCACAGACAGCTTTCCAGGTCGTGTGGCCAGCATGACTAAACCACTTCAGGCGCAACAGAACACTGTGATCCATCACAGTGCATGGAAACACCGTTTACCTTCCTGCCGCAGTGTTACCTATTTATCTACTTGCACTGGTGTGCTTTCGAACTGCTAGGTTGGCAGGAGCTGGGACAGAGCAACGGGAGCTCACTTCCGATTGGCAGACCCGTGTCCCTATGCCACATAGTAAGGCCACTTCCGACAACTACAGTAACTCTGAAAAGCACTAGTTGACTTAAAACTTCCTGAAAGAATTTCCTCTTTTTCTTGAGTTCAACCATTAGTCCACTTGTCTCAGGATTGTCCACACGAATTGGCAAGTCCTCCAGGATTTCTGATGGGGAACTTTCCCAGCCCTCTTTGTGGGGAGGAAGTAATGGCCACCAACCTTGGTGGCTTTAAAAGAAGATTAGACAAATTCATGGAAAAGAGGGCTATCTCGATGGCTACTAGCCATAATGACTCCGCTCTGCCTCCACAACTGGAGCCAGAAATGTTTCTGAATATCAGTTGCTGGAAACCACAGGAGGGGAGAGGGTTCTTGGGCTTGGGTCCTGTTTTGCTGGTTTCCCACAGGCAACTGTTCAGCCACTGTGAGCACAGGATGCTGGACTAGATGGGCCATTGGCCTGATCCAGCAGCCTCTTCTGATGTTCTTATGGATAGGAACCACATGCACTGCTTCTGGGTTCCATGATGGAGGAAAGATGAGCGACAAATGTAATACTATTCACAAACCAGAGAGCCTCTGGTGTATTTTTATTAGAAAGGGACCTTGGTTGCTTTATACAATGAAAAGAACTTTTGCCACTGCCCTTCACCACCTCCAGCGTTATCTAATGTAAGCTCTTGTGGAGAAGGATCAAAAAGCAAACAGTCCTGATGTGGTTCACTTCAGCTCCCAAAGGTGCAAGGATATCACAGAAGACAGAGTGTGGTGAGGACTGATAAGAGGGAAACTGCAAAGAGCTTTGGGGAGATCAGAGAAGCAGCCAAGATTTGAAAGTGATACCCTGGAACATGAGGGAAAACCAGCCACTGATTTCCCCTTTGCCATAGAACTCAAAGAAACTCTGTAGAGTCTCTTGGTTCCGGAATGCAAAACTCTCCAAGTTGTCAAATATAAGCAGGATGGAGCCCCACTGCACCCCCAGCTATAGCCCAGAGTCAGTAGGACAGAAAGAGTCCAGATCTAAATAGTCAAGCTTCGGACAGATCCTGTAAACCTTGTCCAGACACAGTGGGGAAAAGCTGTCTAGCCAAGATTGGGGTGTTGGTGGGTTTTTTTGCTTTTCTTGAGGTCAGACGAGACTGGTGCTGGAAGGTTTATTTTCAGCAAGGATGTCGGGCGTGAAGCACCCCAGAATGACTCAGAGGCAGGGATCACAAGTTTGACTGCAGAAATGAACCAAGACGGGAGATTCCCTCTGATCACTCTGTTTGTGTGTGTGAGTATTTGCAAACCAAATCAGTTTTAGCTTTTATTTTCAGTTCCAGTAAATTGCTGAGCTTTTCAGTGCACAGCAAGGAAGACCCACTTCCTTATCATTGAATCATGGAACAGTAAGTTGGAGGGGATCCCAAGTGTCATCTAGTCCAACCCCCACCTCCTGAGCCTCACCTATCAATCAAACTGCCATTTAAGGGGGCCCTTTGTCAGATTGCACTTTGTTGTCTGTGATTGTAATAATAACAAATAAATAAGACCTCTAGGTCTCACTTTCATGGAGCAATTAAACAGGCCACAACGAACGCTCCCACATACAGAATGCTCACATATAATAGATTTAATATTTTTTGTGTGTATCTGAAAGCCAGACTTTGGAACTGGTCT